TGTCTTTATAAATTGGCTTTCATTGAGGGTTTTTTTTTCTTGTTGGTTTAATGTTGTCTTTAGCTCTTTCAAAGTCAGATGACCAAGGCTATGCCTGTGCCGGCAAACTGGGGAAAGCTTCAATGCATCATCAATCAAAGATACGAATTTTCAACTTATGCAGTGCAGCCAGTGGGGATTCAAAAAAATTTATTCTAAGGGTCAACATGTAAAAGATTAAAAAAATTTCGATACAAAATAGACCCATCGAAATGAAATGATAATATTCTAATTCATAGTTAGTAGATAAAATCATACAAATACTCATGTTCATTATCAAAGAGAACTGCATCAACTTCAAAAAATATATACACACTTAAATAAACCAGAAATATTTCTAAGAATTTGATAATAAACCAAAAAATTAGCTCAATCCTCTTCACCTCCCAAGACGTCTTGTCCTATTCAACATAAGAGCTGACATATATTAGCGCAATCCTGCTCATTGGGGCATTTCCGTCATTTTTAAGGTCTATCGTCATTTTGATTTTGAGTTTTATCTACATTTCTTTTGGGCTCTAGCTCTCAAACTTTGGACCCTTATGAAAACTGTCTTAAAGGGAGCTTATTCGAGCAAATATTTCCTAAATACGTAATAGTTATGTTATCCTTGTAAAACTCTTTGTGGATTGAACATCTAAGGCTTTTTATTTAGATTGACCTTAGGTCCCTTCTTGCATTCATATCATACATGAAAAAATATTTTATGTACAAATATTGGCTAAATATGAAAAATGGTTTTCAGAATAATCATTTTCTCAAGATAATTTTTGGAGGCTTTTATTCCTTACACATCAAATAAGAAAACTTGCTTTTATGGGATTTTAGGATGAAGTATATATTGACTTAATGAGTCATCATTTTTAGCCTACATCGTATTTTGCACTAAAATAGATTTTTCATATTTTGAGTACTTCCTTATTTACATTGTAAACTTAAGTAAATTGAGTAATATAAAAATAAATGAAAGTAAAAGGACAAAGACATTTACTTAAATGCTGAAAAGGAAATAAGGAAATTTGTACAACGTCATCGTTTTGACGTTAGGAAAAAAAAACAAAGGAAGAGCTGCGCACGTGCATGCCTGTTGTGTTGGTGTGCTGCGCCCTTTGAAGCATTTTATCAAGCTGTTTGTGGGCAATTTATAGGGATCAACATCTTCGCCTCCAATGATCAATTCCAGGCTTGCATGGGTCAATTGACCCCTCTTGTCCCTACGTGGATCCACCCCAGTATGCAGCTACTAGTGATGGATTATTTGCTTTTACTTTTTAAAACATTTTTTTATTATTATAAACAGAACTTTATGAGGTTTATGTAGTGAAATTTTATTTTATTAAAATAAAATAAAAAGAGGAGATACTTATTTTGTAGAGTGTTGCCTTACATTCCATGGCTGGTTCTTGGGGGTAACATGTTCAAAGCAGTTGAATGGGGGGCTAGTGAAGGAGCAGCTTCTGTTGCAGATTTTCTACACTTGTTGGCTAAGAGGAAGATGTGTGATGAGGTCTGGTTCCACAAACCACCTTCTTCTTTGTTGTTTAGTTTGCGTTGTTGTTGATTTCTTTTGCATGTTTGCATTGATGTTGTTCTCTTTGGCCTGTTGTGGCTGTTTTAATGGAATTACTATTTGATTTTAAAAATATGTAGAGCAACATGGACACATATAATCTTATACAAAAAGAAAAAGAACCACATGGCCTCTCTTGGCTCAAGGGAAAAGCCCTTCGTTAATAATGGACTTTTGAATGATGTGCAACATTTGGCTTCATAGAAAATTATAAAAAAAATTGACACAATGATTTTCAATGTCTTAGCTTCTTTCTTCAATTGGTCTTACGCTAAAATTCCTCCAAAAAGTCGATTTTCTGTTAAAAACCTTCTAAGAGTGTAAAAAAGCTAAAAATAAAGAAAGTAACGTAAAGTCTCTCTTTAAACAACTTTCTCTACAAAATTAAAATATAAAAAATATAAAAAATATAAAAATATAAGAAATAAGGCACTTATCAATAGTGCGCCACCAATTTGTGATGGTAGGCATCCATTTTTTGTGGGTTAAAAAATGTGTTAAGGAAAAATATATTTGGATTGATCTAAAATATTTCCGGATAAGTATGAGAATTCAAAGCCTGGTTTCACTTGGCTCTCGAAAAGTTTAGCTGCAGTTGGTGGTTGAGTTTCAATTGATGCAGTGGTTGGGTTCGAAAGCCCAATAAATTAACTTCTCCATATCTCTAAGCCCATATTAATTAACGGGTTATCCAACAACTGCCCATTAAATTTTCAAAACACCGAATGTCTTTGCCTTTTGTTGGGTGTGGGCTGTCTTTGTGCTTTTGGTTGGCATAGTTTTAAGGGAGATTCACTAATATACCCAATATGGGGGCCCAAATTATAAAAATACCCCATATGAAATGAACTTTATAAACACACCCAAAATCCATTTACAACATAACAAAGAGGCCTTAACTTCTTATAAATTACAAAACTACCATAAATTTCTTAAAACAAGCCCAACCTCAAAATCTCATAAAAATACCCAAAACACTCAATAGGACATTAAAGTAATTTAATAATCAATATTAAATTCAATAAGGCCAGCTGTCATTTGTGGGGTATTTTTTTGGGTTTGTTTATAGAAATTCAATGATGGAGGGTTTATCTATAATATTAGTGCTAAGAATGGGTATATCACTAAATATCTCTAGTTTTAAATCCCCTAAGGCCCTATCCTGTCAGTGTTTTGAGTGGACCCCAATATTGGGCCGTTTCCAGTTTTTATTATTATTGTTTTTTGTAGCACTTTTTAATTTATTTTTAAGTTATTCCCTAAAACCCGAAACCCATTGATTGATTAATTTATTTATTTTATATAAATGAAGTGATATGTTATTGATTAGCCAATAGAATTAAAAATCTGAAATATAATACAAATTTATATAACATGATTGTTTCTTCTTATCTAATCAACATACCGTATGTTTAAAATACTTAACTCGAAGTGGTCACTAAGCTATAAATTGTCAGACTTTAATTTCCTCACGGCACAAAAAATGTTGTATCCTTCCCATTGTCACCGCCGAAAAAATGTTGTATCCTTCCCTTTGTTGCTGCCGAAAAAATGTTGTACCCTTCCCTTTGTTGCTTCTCTTTGTTGCTACCGGAATGTTGTATCCTTCTTTGACATGATATAAAATGTTGTTTCTTCCCTTTGTTGCTGCCGAAAAGTGCTGCAAAACTTTCCACCACGGTTAATTTGTTGGCTTTTTTCTCCAGTTCAATTCTTTCTTCATATTTTGAACATCTATTGATTTGATGCAAAAGCAAACATAAAAGACCTTATATCACAAATACTAATTAATATATGAGTTTATTATCAATATAGTTTATATAGCTAAATATATTTTATTTTTTTAGAAATATATAGCTAAATACTTTATTAAAGAAGGAAAATAATTAACTCCGGAGTGGATGAAAATCTTACCGTCACAATAGGCTTGAAATCCTAGATGCTGGTGGCTAAGCCAATTATGTCCCGAGGCATCTAAATTAAGAACTTGATAATTTTTCTAATAAAATAAAAAGCCAAACAAGTTATGGAAAATTGCTCAATGAATTAGCTATCTTTTACTACATTTTGTTTATACTTTTTATCTTGCATGTACAGTACATGAAACTTATGTACTCTATTTTTATTCCAAATCTCAACTCATAATTCTTTTTACGAACTTTGTTCATCTCATCTTTGTCCACCAATGAAATAGGAATGTCTTCATCCACATTCAGATTTAAACTTGTATAAAATCTACGCACGTTTTCAAAAATATGGGCCTCGCATTCCTTTGGATCCATGATAGTAATAGAATAGCAATCTGAGCAAAGTTTCCACACATCGCCGAGATCCACATATATTATTTTTGGTTGTTGCATGATATAAAGAAGCAATCAAACAAGCTATGTGAGGAATAAAATGTTTTTCCGCAAACCTTCAATCTGTGGCAAATGCTACACTGCAGAGTCCCATCCTTGCAATGTTCCACACAACATCTAATTTATTATGCAACACAGATTCATTCCTTTGGAAAAAAGAAAAAGAAAATGCTTATTAGTTTAAGATAACAAAAAATATATAACGATCACATTATTCTATCTACGAAACAAACTAGATTGAAATTTGCAAATAATTACATTAAAATGTTTTGAAAATTTTAAGGCCCTTTTTATTCAATAAATAAATGTAGCGAGGTTGCTTCTCAATTATGGTCAAGTCGAGTTGCATCCCGATCGATCGAGATCGACTTGAGGAACTCTTCAATTTTTTGTCTAATCTTAAACATGATTAAATAAATAAATAAATAAGAGAAACCAAAGAATTTAAACGAACATTAAAAAAAAAAAATTACACAATAAGATAAAGCACTTACATATTGGTGACAAATATCACATAAGTTTGCATAGATATTGACTTTATTTTTGGTGAATTCTTGACTCATGACTTCAATTATTGCAAAGAGGCTGAATCACGATGGATGGTGAATGAATTATGTCTAATCCATATACTTACTGAAATTATACTGTAGCATATATTTTAGGGTGGAAAGCCATCTTTATATAGATGTGGGGTAACCTAGATTGTAGGGTGGAGAGCCTATATTTTAGGAATCTAGGGTAGCATATATTGCATGGGTATTTTTTTGCCTTTATCTTTTTGAGAGGTTTCAGTGCAATTAAGGGCGGAGCTACATACATGCTTGTAGTAGTCGTGGCCCCCTCAAGCCCCATGAAAAAGCCAATAACTCTTAAACACGTGTTGCAATATCAGTTGAAATATAAGGCTATAAAACCTAGAAATTACAGTATTGTTCCCCTGTTTGGGGGTGGTGAAAATTCACCCAACTCGGGCAACTTTTGAAAACACTAGCAGCCATGCTCTTGGAGTTATGGCTGGGTACAAGAATTGATTATGGGTTGGAAAAGGAGCAGCCGAAACCCAAGTCTTGAATGCGGCTAAAAGTTGGAGTGGCGGCCGGACTTGAAGGCAGCCGGGTTTGAATGCGGCTAGAAACTCGAGGGAGCCATGGGTAATAAAATTTTCCGGCTGGGTTTTTTGGAGCTAAGCCGGCTAGAACCCAGGACTTGAGAGCACATAGGATGAAGCTCTGGAGGCTTGCGAAAACACTGCCAGATGGAGCTGGGTTGCAAGAATGCGACTTGCTAGAGTTTGAGGCCGGTGCCCAAGTTTTCATGGTCGAAGATTTTGAAGGCTGCATTGGGTGGAGCTAGGGCTTGAGAGAAGGCGATCGAATATACTAGAGTTTTGCGGCCGGATCTGCGGCGTGTTGAGGCCGGATTTGCTGGGGAATACGTGCAGGCTGTGATTGAATGTGGCAGGAGGCTCGAAGGTGGATGAACTGTTGAAACTTGCCGGTCGAGATTTGGGCTCTTTGTGGCCAAGTTTTTGTGACTGAAGTTTTGGGTGTTCTGCAAATCGGATTGAAGGGTTTGTAGGTTGAAATCTAATTGTAAGCACTTCAAGCAACCGCCCCGCCGAATGTCGGCGGAATTAGAGTTACATGTTAAGGAAGAAATTGTAAGGCTTATGAAAGACAAATTTATTAGGCCAACTAGGTACGTAGAATGGCTTTCAAATATTGTACTTGTAAAGAAAAAAAGTGAGCAATAAGAATATGTGTTGATTTTCTCAATCTTAATCTTGCAACTCCCAAAGATGAATATCTCATACCCATGGCCGACCTCTTAGTTGATAGAGCTGCCAAACATGAAATTTTGTCTTTCATGGATTGGCATTTTGGCTGTAACCAAATTTTCATAGCCAAGGAGGATGTCCACAAGACAGCCTTCAGATGCCCCAACTCCATTGGAACCTTTGAATATGTGGTGATGCCCTTCGGCCTAAAGAACGCTGGAGCCACATATCAACGGGCAATTAACGCCATTTTCTATGACATGATCGGTTGAAACTTATAAGTTTACAGTGACGATGTGGTTATAAAGTCGGAGTCCGGATCAGGTCACTTGGATGACCTTCGGTCAGCCTTTAAGAGAATACAACGACATCAATTAAAGATGAACCCAAAAAAGTGTGCTTTTGGGTTGTATTCTTAGTACACCAAAAGGGGATTGAAATTGATAAAAATAAGGCTAAGGCTATCATTGACGCACCCCCTCCAAAAAACAAGAAAGGTGTGCAAAATTTATTGGGCCAAATTAACTTTCTCCCAAGGTTCATAGCCAACTCCGTGGGAAAAGTTGAGCCATTCTCATATTTGCTAAAACTCTAGGATGAAGAAGAATTTCGGTGGGAGGAGACTCACCAAAGGGCATTCGACTGCATTAAAGAGTATTTAGCCAAGCCTTCGGTGCTCATTCTGTCAAGGCGGGGTCGACCATTGAAATTGTATATTTTGGCCGCGGAGAACTCCATCAGAAATTTGTTAGCCCAAGAAAATGATAAGAAGAAAGAGCAAGCGGTATATTACCTTAGCCAAATTCTAACGGCCACCGAGAGAAAATACTCGCTAGTGAAACTTTGCTTAGCCTTATACTTTATCACAACCAAGCTAAGGCATTGCTTAGCCTTTGGCTGATTTCTTGGCTGCCCACCCTTGTGTTGAAATAGAAAAGATGGATTTCCTCGAGATCGGCACATGGAGTTTATTTCCATGGCTCCTCTATTGTGACAAGTCTCAAACATCTAACATGGGCGGGGCCGGTATCATTATTGAATCACCCTAAGGATTCTGAACTCGTTATTTGTTTCAATTAGACTTTGATTGTACCAAGGCTAATTATGAGGCCCTGATCATCGGGTTGGAAATTTTGAAAGAGCTTAGGGTAAATAGTGTGTCGGTTATGGGAGACTCAATGTTGGTCCTAAAACAATTTTCTGACAACTACAAGGTGACTAGCCAAGTTTTGCTCGGGTGTCATTCCTTGGCAAGCCGGTTGATGGAGGATTTTGATGATGTGAGACTCGCCCACCTACCAAGGTAGCTTAACTCTCAGACCAACGATATGGTCTAATTAGCATTCGAAGTGAAAATCTCCAAGGGCCTCTCTGAGGAGCTTTTTAAAGTAGAGAAACGATCTCTCTCCTCCGTTTTTAAAAGAGGGACCCAGACGGAAGTTATGGTGTTAACCATAGCACCGAAGGATTGGAGGCTCGACATCGTACAATATTTGAAAACTCCAAATGGTTCACATAGAGAACAAGTTCGGCGAAAGGCCCAATATTATGTGATAAGGGATGAAGTATTGTTCCGTATAAGTTCCGATGACTTTCTCATGAAATGTTTGGGCAAAAAAGAACAACTCGTAGCAATGACAGATGTCCATGAAGGGATATGCGGTGCGCATCAAGCTGGCATCAAGATGAGGTGGCTTTTAAGGAGGCATGGTTATTATTAGCCGACCATCCTCAAAGATTGCATTGACTGTGCAAAAGGTTGCAAAGATTGTTAAAAGCTAGCACGGGCCGATCCAACACCTTCCGGCCGAACAAATGAACCCCATTGTCAAGGCTTGGCCTTTCAAAGGTTGGGCAATGGATGTGATTGGCCAAATCCACCTAAAGTCATCCAAGGGCTATAAGTACATCTTGGTAGCCACTGGTTTTTTCGCAAAAAGGGTGGAGGCCGGAAGGTCATCCAAGCTGAGGTGCTAGAATTTATCGAGAATAATATCATCCATTGTTTCGGCCTGCCCGAGTCCATCATGACCAACCGATGGATGACTTTTATGGGTGAAGCCATTCAAGCTGCCTTAAGGAATTGGGGAATTAGGATGGTTCAATTCACCCCGTACAATCCCTAATCTAATGGCCAAGCAGAGGCTAGTAATAAAGTGATAAAAAGAGATTTTGGAAAAAATGATCGATAATAATCCCAAGGAATGGCACTTTTTTCTCTCCAACTCTCTATGGTCGTATAGAACCTCAAAGAGGTTTGCCACGCGAACAACGCCATTCTCCCTCATCTACGGCCATGATGTCGTCCTACCACTTGAGATTTCGGTCAAATCTTTAAAGGTAGTCCGTCATGCCGAATGGAGTAAGGATGAATATGATCAAGCCATGGCACAAGAGTTAGAGATCTCGACAAGGTTACGTTAGGCACTTTAGATAAATTAAAGGCCTAAAAAGAGGCAGTGGCTCGAGCATACAACAAGAGGACCAAGACCAAGAGTTTTGGGATTGGAGATTTGGTATGGAAGACCATTCTTCCGATGGTATCAAAGGATCCAAAATTCGGTAAGTGGTCTCCAACTTGGGAAGACCCATTTCTCATCCACCAAGTCTTAGGAAAGGGGGCTTACAAGTTAAGTGACCAAAATGGTTGGGTTCATGACTCTTTGATCAATGGTCGATATTTGAAAAAATATTACCTAATGGTTTGGGAAATGGCGAAGCGATAGCCCGCTGCAAGGAAATATTTCGTAGTGAAATAATGATTTTTATTGAAAGAACGGGCATCATAAAAAGACCTCTTCTAAAAGATATCATATATATAGGTGGGCAAAAGTTTATTACAAAATGGGGCCAAGCAATGGCCTAAACATCCACCGAAGGTTCAAGAAATAATAACTAAGCTAGTTCTACCACGTGTGGTGACCAAATAAAAAGAAACTAGCTAAGTACAAAATATGTCAACCAATGACCAAGTATGAACCTAAGCGTCGGGAAAGATGGTGCGGAGGGCAATCCTAAAGCTCTCCATTGCGCTATCTCCGACGGACAAGGTAAACTGTCTTTCTCTCCCAGTATGCTCCCACCAATACCACATCCTGTCGAAGTTGAGCCTTGAGAAGCCTATTGCTCTGAACAATCTTGGAGACTTTGGCAACAATGGCGGCCCTCCTTTCATGAGGTAATCCACTGCTCCAAGTCGTGGCTTATCCTTTGTCCTCTTGAGAGGAGGAAGGGGAGGGGGGGGGGGGGGACTTCTCCACCTGGCCAAAGAGATAGGTGATCATAGTCACCAACCGTAGATTTGGGAAAAAACCAAAGCTCGCCAAAGTCTCAATGGCGGCTTTGAGTTTGTCTCTTTCATCCTTGCCTTTCAAGGACATGAGGTCTCCATCTCTATTTGATTGAAGTAGGGCCTCAGCCCCAGAATCTAGTTGGGCCTCGGTCGTGGTAGAAGAAGTAGTAAGGCAAGTGGAAGCCTTCGCTGAAGATATAAATGCATCCCATTGATCAAGGAAGTCGAAAATGTCACCAAAGAGTAGCAAGAAAAAATGGGCATTATACTTTTTTAAGGAAAGTAAATTGCATGTATATATATATTTCCTTTTTCATACATGATTAAGGAATTGTGGAGAGGCTCCTTCATGAGGAACCATGGCTAAGCTTTTTCCATCCTTCGTCGATGGATTTATGATAATCTCGTTGGGAACAAGAGATGAAGACTCTCCAACCTGGCAAAAAGGCATGTTATAATAATGGCCCATACATCTGAAATAAGTATGAAAACGTCAGGGCTTACCTCAAGTTGATGTTTAGGAAAAATAGTATCGACCACCAAGGCGGGAGCTCCCGAGGTCAACATAAGAATGGGCTCAAGTGTTGCACTTCCGTCAGTGGGAATAGTGGAAGGCGTACTGCTAGTGACAATTGCATGGTCGACCGTGAAAGGTCGGGCCACTTCGGAATGGCTCGATAGGGCGAGTCGAGGGAGGGTCCGAACTTATGGCAAAAAGGGGCTAAAATTCGGCCTCGATGACTGTCGTGTCGGTCAAAGAAAGTTTGGGGCCAAAAATGGACCATTGACATATTCAAGCATTAAGAGTAACAAATTCGAGGCAAGTGTAAAATAAATTTTGAAAATACAAAATTCCAATGAACTTGGGAATTCATAACGTGAGGGAAGTCTTCCTCGGTCAGCACAGCCACAGGCTCCAGGGCATGATCCTCGAGCATGGGAATCGTCTCGTGTAACTCTGTGGAAACCTCCTCCAAATGCCCCGCAGTATTGACCTCGACCGACTAAGTTTGAAAATTTAGTAAGCATATAAGAAGTGTTGCGTGAAAGAAAATTCAAGCAGTTAAGGAGATGAGTTTACCTCATCCCTTGCCACCGGAGTCATGATTTATGCCCCAATTCCCGTCTCAGGTGTAGGAGGTTGAGCTTCCTACATTTTTGGGCCTCAAAAATTAATAAATAAAAGTATGAGGAGGTATAAGCTTACCGGAGCGGCGAATGAAAGGGTAGCCGATTGCACGGCCCCAATTGAAAGTAGGATGCTTCGCTAGCCTTGGGGAACCTACAACAAGTTTAGTTTAATTAAAAAATAAATATAATAATAAATAAATAAAAAGGTGCATGGCCAAACCTTGAGGTGAGAGGTTCTGCAGAATTTTTCTGGGCAGAAGGAATGGTTGTGAGGGCATAATATTTCCGACTAGGGTATCTCCTAAAAAGTTAAGGGTTAAACTCTCAGAGGTGCCCATCAAAAAATTCGGAAAACCGGAAGTGTGAATCTTTAGAAAGGCAAAAGTAATCATGGAGAGTAGCCTATGTTGGATGGGGGTGTTGGGCCTTTTCTCGCCCTGCCCAGGATTAGCATCGGTCTGATTGGCAAAGCCTTCTCTCTTAATAATGTTGGCGGGATGACTTTCTTTCTTGGCAGTGTCGGCCTTGAGATTTGAAGGGTTAGAAAAAGAAGGAAGATAGTCATAATTAGAAAAGAAAAAAAATAAAAATATCTTACATTTTGCTTGGGCTTTCTTCTTCTCTTTTTCTTGTTGGTATATCAATGAGCATGGGTTGGACTTGGGTGGCTCAACGAAGGCTGCAGTGGAAAGAAGAGCAAGGGAAATTCTGGCAGTTGTAAGGCAAAGGGCAAGGCCAAGATGTATCCAAATGTGACCAAGGTTCCTGAAAAGCTTTAATCGAAGAACATGCAAAGGCAATTGTGTTATGCAGTCGGTGCCAATGCAAACTCTCAAAGTAGTTCCGCCATAGACCAAGGAAACAACCAATAAGCCAAATAGGGAGCCAATCAAGGATCAAGTCCTAGTGGGCAGACCGAAGAGTTCCATAAGAAATATGATAGCAAGTCTGAGTAAGAATTATGGCCTACATAGCCCAAAGGGCGGGATGGAAGTAAGGCCGAATAAAGGGTCATTACATGAATACCAAGATAGGCACGAGAGGCTACGATACCAGCCTAAGAGGGGAAATCAACATGTGTCATTAAGGTATGAAGAAATTGATCCGCTGAATCCCATCCAAGATAGAAGCATGTGGATTCCAATAGGCAGAGGCAAAAATCGGGATGTGGCATATGTATCAAGACCTTGCCTGGAAAATGGTAATGGTATAGGACTAGGGGTCCAAAACTTCCTCCAATACCTCTACGCAAAACTCAAACAAGAAGAGCTCAGAGGCAATATACCACTACCTACAATACAGAGTTGGAATGGGCGAACAAGAGGTAAGCCCATCTTGATCGATTGGTCAAGCTTTGGAAGAAGCTTCGGTTGGAGTTGGAATTAGCCAAGGCTGATGCTATGGCATCTTTGGAGGCAGTGGCGGTCGAGGAGATAAAGTTGCACTGAGAATGGGTGAATGGCTGAGTTATGGTGACAACTCTAGAATAACCGATTTTGGAGTAGGAAACACATTTAACCGAGGCTTTTAAGGCAAACAATTTTAAGGCTAAAGTTAGTAGGCCAACCAAAATGGTCGGCGAGGAACCTTTGAAGGGTGAGAAAACAAGGGTTGCTCGACCGAAAACCAAACCTTTGGTCGCCAAAACTCCGATAGTGACCAAAGAGGCTCAACTAACCGGGGTTAAGAAGAAACGAGAAAATGACCAGAACATGATCGAAAAAACTATGGGCGAGCTCATATGAAAGAAAGTGGGCCAAAGGCAGAGGAAGACCAAGTCATGGTGGAGGCCGAGACCAACGAGATAGAACAAGAGACCGAACGTACAGCCGAAGGAAGACAAAGGGCCGAATATACAGTTGAAGGAGAAGATAAATAGGTATTGGAAAATCCCCATCCCAATTTTACATTGGCCGAAGATGAAGAATATGGAGATGATGAAGAATATGGGGATGATGAGTACATAAAGGAATTTATAAATGAGGGTATAAAGCATCTCGAAAAGGAACGTAAGGAAGAGATGGCCAAATTTGAGAACAAATTGAAGGTGGGAAAGGCCAAAGTGAAGTTCGGAAACTTTGACGAGGTGAACGCCATAATGGTTACACTCCTACTATTTTTTGAAGCTCGGCCTAATCAACCCAATTATATGGACGGAGATGTGTTTGACGAGCTTGAGTCCATGGTTCAAATAAAAGAGGACAAAGAAATTGAGATAGCCAAAGAAATTTCAAAGGAAGGGAATGCCCAACCATGTACCGTGGTGCCTAAAGCAGAGGAGAAATTGCTAGAGAATGTGTGCTATGAGATGCCCATCAAGAAAATGTCCTCCCACCTTCAGCCCTTGTATGTGGGCGCTCATTTTGATGGAGTTCTGATAAGCAAGGTCCTTGTATATACGGGAGCTACGGTCAACATCCTTACAGTCTCAATCATGAGGAAATTGAAGAATGGTTCAGATGAATTGATTATGACCGAGACAACGGTTAGTGGGTTCGTGGGAGACACCACGACTTCAAAGGGAATGATCCCACTTCAAGTTAGAGTGGGGCAAAAGGTTATGATGACAGTTTTCTTTGTGGTGGAGACACCAGCCCATCTCAATGCTTTATTGGGCAGGGATTGGATTCATGGAAATATGTGTGTGCCCTCTTCACTTCTTCAATTTTTGCAATTTTGGCACGAGTATGGAAGTGTAGAGACTGTTCAGGCCAATGCACGGCCCTTCATGGCTTCTGCCAATGATGTAGAGGCAAAGTTTTATGAGGATGACATTGGGACTCTTTATTTTACGATGTCAAATAGGAACGGCCGACCTACGAGAGTCTCAGCCCAAAAGTTGATAGACTTGGGGGCACATGATGCCTAAGCAGATGGGGAACACCCCACGACGGCGGATTTTTTCTCTCTCGATGAGTGATGCAACCATAGAGGAGGAGAAGAAGGCTGTGGTGGAAGACACTTTGAGACGGCTATACAGTTTTTGGGCTGAAAGAGCGGCCGAGCATAGGCCCACCGCTAACTTGGTGGAATTTCTAAATAAAGGTTCGGAAGATGATGCACTCAAAATCGAGGAAGTATAGTTGGCGCCACGCGAGATGGATGATTCAAAGGCAGAAGTCCAAGATACTCTGTTAGAGATCAACTTGGGGACGCAAGACAACCATTGGCCAATCTACATCAATGGTCGAATGGTGCCAAAACTTCGGGCTAAGATGGAAGAGCTTTTAAAAGAGTTCAAGGATTGCTTCGCTTTTGTTTACACCGAGATGCTTGGATTGAGTCGTGACTTGGTAGAGCATGACTTACCAACGGTGGAAGATTTCAAGCCCTTTAAGCAGCCGCCCCGCCGAATGTCAGCGGAAGTAGAGTTTCATGTAAAGGAAGAAATTGTAAAGCTTGTGAAAGCCAAATTTAATAGGCCAAATTTGTAAGTCGTGACTTAGGGGTTTCCGCTTGGAATTTCATAGGATTCTTGGTGCACCAAAGGGGAATTGAAATTGACAAAAATAAGGCTAGGGCTATCATTGATGCGCCCCCTCTGAAAGCTGGGTCTTTCCTATCTTTGCTAAAACTTAAGGAAGAAGAAAAATTTCGGTGGAAGGGAGTTCACCAAAAGGCATTCAATTTTATCAAAGAATATTTGGCCAAGCCTTCGGTGCTTATCATGCTGAATGGAGTAAGGATGAGTATGAACAAGGATTAGATGACCTCGACGAGGTTAGGTTGGGTGCTCTGGATAAATTGAAAGCCCAAAAAGAGGCGGTGGCTCAGGAATACGATAAAACGACCAAGGCCAAAAGTTTTGGGGTTGGAGATTTGGTATGGAATTTTTCCAGTGGGACTGAAGGATCCAAAATTTGGGAAGTGGTCTCCAATTTGGGAATGTCCATTTCTCATCCACCAAGTACTGGGGAAGGGGGCATAAATTTCAGTGACCAAAATTGTCGAATCCATGATTCACTGATCAATAAATTATTTTTGAAGAAATATTATCCAACGACTGGGGAAATGGCGGAAAGATAGTTCGCCACAAGAAAATATCATTATAATGAAATGATGACTCTCATTGAGAAAATATGTATCATAAAAGGAATTTTTTCCACGGAATGGCCAAATCCATCAAATGGCCTAACAAAAATTCTTAGAAATCAACATCTGAGAAAATTTTGATTCATCTATCCATTCACCAACTTCATGCTAAATGAATCGAAGGGGCAATGTTTGGGGTGGTCAAAATTCACCCAATCTACCAAGGAGGAATTCCTATTGGCCGAAGAATTCCTAGTGGCCGAGAATTCCTAGCGGTGGATTCCTAACAGCCGAGAATTCCTAGCAACGGGATTCCTAGCGGCCAAGAATTCCTAGCCGAGTCCTAGCAGCCGAAGAATTCCTAGCGGCAGGATTTGGAATTCCTAGAGGCCAAAGAATTTCTAGCAGAGAAATCCTAGCGGCCAAGGTGCTTTACCAAAAAGGTGGCCAAGGTGTTTTCTTCATAAGGTCATGGTGCCTTCTCAAAAATGCAGTCGAGGTGTTTTCTTCAAAATCTGTGGTGCCTTCTCAAAAATATGGCAGGGCACTTCCCTTTGCAAAAGTGGCCGGGCATATCCTTGCAAAATTGGTCGAACCCTTCCTGTTGCAAAAGTGGCTGGGCACTTCTCAAAAATTTGGGCCGAGCACTCCTTAGATACCTTAGTCAACCACTCCTCTTGCAAAAAGCTAGGTCGGGGCCGATTTTCTCCTTGCGCACCCAGGCACCCTCCTCGCAACACTTGGGCAAGAAAAGTTGGGCCAAGGGAGTTGAAGTTCGGCGGGAGGTATGTCCACTGAATTCCCAATATTCGATTATTTTGAGAACTCAAAGATAGTCCAATGTGGGGCCAGGCCCAACATCCAAATATTTGGAGTTCTCATACCACCCACCCTAGCGGATAGTCAGCCAACTCTAGAATTCTAAAAACTCCAAGGGCACGAGGCTCCACCAGATGTCAAGATGAAATCTCGGAGGTCCAAGCCCAAGCCACGAATTAACGACCAAGATTTCTGGAAGAATATATGCACGCGGAGGCCTCATAAGGAACTAAATCGAGGAGATTAATAATAATTCAGAATATTCCAAAGCAAGAAAGAGTGGAGCAGATCAGAATATCTCCATCAATGCAATACCGAGGATTGAGGGAGGCTTTGAAAGGAAAGAATTTTAAAAAAGTTGACATTTGGCCATTCAATGGCTAGCCCGTGGGCCAACGGATGCCCTATATAAACTTCACCAAACGAAGGCAGAAGACAGACAACTTCAGACAAACAAACCTACTTTTCTTCTTGCACTTTTCTTTTCCTAGACTTAGGATTTTACTTTCCAAGCACCTAGTGTAGCGTGCTCTTCCTTTTCTTAGTGTAAGTTTAAATTCTTATTCAATTTACATTATCTCGTCTTTTAAATTCAAGTTTATTTACATCGCTTTACTTTTCATTGTTATCGCACTTTTATTAAGTTTAATTTCAAGTTTATTATAGTTTATCGTTCTTATCGTTTTTATCGCTTTTATTTTGTTCTTGCTTTATTTATCGCTTTGATTTATTTTATCACATTTTAATTATTGTCTCTATGTTTAAACGCACATTTAATTTAATTGCATTATTTTTACTTAAAAACCTAAAAATCACAAAAACATTCGTACGAAGCCTAACCATCCTCGAGCCCAAGGAAGTGAAAGAAACTAAGCCAAGAGGAGGTTCCTTGCTTGGTCGATCATTCGTTTGATCATAAGTTAAAAGCACAACACATCCATCTACTCACATTCCATTCAGGCCCAAATTCGTGGCTTGGTGATGGCACGCCCCGCACTCAAAAGAAGATGGACTAAAAGTTCCTTCCGTCGGTCGAAAAGAGGGAAACAACTACCTTATTAATTTCATCTCATTGATTTGGCATCAAACAAGTGCACTAAATTATATAGAAAGAAAACAAAACAATGGGATTGGTGATTTTATAATATGGACTAAAGAAATTTTACCCCATCGTGGTTTAGGTGCCGTATCCAAATGAGCCTTGAGGTTTCAATTTCATCATTTTGATACTCAACGTTTCAAAATTTGACCAATTCACACCGTCAATTAGATTTACTATCTTGTTAGACGTTAAATGCTGATGTGTCAACTATGGGAACCACAATTTGGTTTCCATCTCAAATTGGAATTGGAACTAGTACTATTTAACTGGTCTGGTTGGGTCCTGTTTGGTCCAGTTTTGGTGAAAAAAAATTATGAAACTGGCCGGTTCGATTTTCGATTTTGGGCCGGATTATTATTATTGTTTCTATATACAAATTCCAACTAAAATTTTATGTTTTGGGCTTAAAAATTAACAAATGATTCAATTTCATACAAAGAGAGATATTGAGCCTAGAAAAAATGTTTTGAAGTTGGGCTTGAAGAATATTAGTTATGAGATTAAAAATGTAGCATTGGATTCAAATAATTTTGTAAAAAAAATAATATAATACACAATCGGTCCAGTTTGGTTTGGTTTGGTTTAGTTTGGTAAAGTATGAAATCAAAACCAAAATCAGTTGGAACCGATCCAGTTTGGTTCGGTGTCGGTTTGTTGACTTTTTTACTAGACTATTTTTTTTTCCAGTTTTTTCCATCCCGTTTGGCTGGATGTTTCGGTTTTCCAATCCTGATGCCCACCGCTATGTAAAATAGTTATAAAAAAATAAAAAAATAAAAGACGAATAGAAAATCACAAATTAAAAATAAAATAAAATAACCTAACCCCTCTCCTTGTACCAGCATAGCCGCGCGTTCCCCCTACCTCCTCCTCTAGCAAACCCCACCCACCACTACTACAAAAAAGGAAAAACACGACGGGAATTCACCGTCGTGTATTCTGTTTTCAAATGGTCGTGGAATCCACCGACATCTTTTCCATAACCAAACCACGACGGTGAATAACCGTCGTTGTTAAAACAAAAAACGTCATCAAAAAATAAAAACCGACGTCTTTGTGCTGCAAAAAGACATAAAAAAACAGTCGAGGATGAGAATAGACGACCAACTCCAACAAAAAAAACTCGTTAAAAAGGAAACAGATGACATATATTAACAGAACATGGCCGCAAGATAAACATACAACGACGAGAACTAAAACTTAACGCCGTTAAAAAATATTTAACGACAAATATAAATACGACGTCTTTACAATCATAATAGACGACGTTATTGACACCTACTACGTCACAACATTTCCCACAACCGTCGTAAAATAAATTTTCCACTTCGATTTTTCTATGAATTATGACGTGGAAATAGATGTCAGGGTCATTACTTACGACGCATGTATTTACAGAGACGACGTTGAATTGATAAATAACGTCGGTTTCCAAATAAATGAGAGCCGTATTACAGAATTTATACGTCATATTTTGAAAATAAACGACGTGAAAAAAGATGGTGTCATTAATTACGACACAGTAATTTATAATGACGACGTTGTAGTCTATATACAACGTCGTTACCATTAAAAAGACCGTCGTCTTTAATAATTTATACGTCTTCATTTAAAAAATTGACGTCGTCTAATTCATATATCTTAACGTCGACAAGTTTAATGGACTTCAAATACCGTCGTAAAATAAATTTTCCACTTCGATTTTTCTACGAATTATGACGTGGAAATAGATGTCAGGTTCATTACTTACGACGTATGTATTTACTGAGACGACGTTGAAATGAATAAACAACGTCGGTTTCAAATAAATGAGAGCCGTATTACAGAATTTATACGTCATATTTTGAAAATAAACGACGTGGAAAAAATGATGGGGTCATTAATTACGACACAGTAATTTATAAGGACGACGTTGTCGTCTATATACAACGTCGGTACCATGAAAAAGACCGTCGTGTTTAATAATTTATACGTCTTCATTAAAAAATTAACGTCGTCTAATTCATAAATCTTAACGTCGACAAATTTAATGGACTTCAAATACCGTCGTGAATTCATCCTTTTCCACTTCGTTTATGAAAGAACATGCGACGTGGTAAATTCATGACGACGTCGTCTTTTGTAACGTTCAGGTTAAAGTTCTCGTCTTTTAGACGTCGGTGTTATGGGATTGGAGTCGTGTTATTTTGAATTACATGGCGGTTCTTTATGCTTGTCCGACGTGTTATCCTGGATAACTGTTTCACAATAGCGTCGTGGTTCTTCATTGTTACTTTGCTTTAAGACGTCGGTAAATATATTGCGGTCGTTGAATGCTCCAAAACGTCGTTATTTATTAGAACAGACGTTTGTTTTTCACATTTTTATCAAAACCGTCGTGTTTGTAATCTGGAACCAGTAATTTTTGTACTGATTGTTTTGTGGCCAAAACCTGTATAATGAAAGTGAAGAAATCACATTACAATATATTACAAAATTAATGTCATACACTGCCAATTACATAAAGCATCATTCAACCCATATATCTTCACACCCATCTCGAATATTTTGACTCCCTAACTCAACCACCACTTCATCAAATGTGTCAACATTTGGCATCCCCCTAGTAAATGGCTCACACTCAATTCTCACATCACCTAAGACATCATCACCAATAACATCATTATATTCTCTATTAGGCATTGATAACACTACCGACCAACCACGATGCATCGGGTCGTCAACAAAAAATACTTGTTTGACTTGAGAAGCCAAAACAAATTGGTCATTCCTATGTCCAATTTTACTCAAATCTACAAGGGTAAATCCAAGTTCGTCCACTACAAGACCAGAAGTATTATCAATCCAATCACACCTAAAGACTGGGATTGTAAACTTTTGGTAGTCAAGGTCCCAAATTTCTTGAATGACACCATAGAAACCCATATTTGAGAGAATTGGGTTTTTATCCTTGGCACTAGCAACTTGCATAGTATGTGCAAGTAAATAAACTCCACTATTTTGAGTTGTCCGCACATCATCTTGTGCCTTGATGTTGAATTTAATACCTTTAATGAGATAGCTCCTATATAATGGCACTGCCATGTTTGGACCAGCTGCTAGCCACCTTAAATTTTCTGATACGCCATGATTGTCTTCCTCATTAAGTTCACTTTGAACCTGCAAATTAATCATAACTTAATTCAATCTAACTAGAAAGAAGAAAATTAAAAGTCCAATATGTTATTCAATAACATATACCTTGAAGCGTACCATTGAATGAAAGTGCTATTGTGCTTATCCTGCAGCCACTTTGTTCTCTTTCTAAATTTTGGATAAGCGGTCTGGATGTGGATCATATGTTGCCTACATGACACACAAAATTCAAGTATTACGGTCCCAAACATATAAGATAAACATAAGAAATAATTTAAAATGGAAACTTAAAGAATAAAACTCATACGTACTCGATATAAGGTAGGACTTCCTCCGTATTCTCCAAGACATATAGATGTGCTTGGTTCAACAGGTCCCGATCAACTACGCTCACTGTGCAACCTGATAATGGCTTTGAAACTCCCATCTTTTTGGCTTGAAGGCACTCCAACTGTACTAACATCAGATAAATGCTCGGTACAAAACTCTACAGCTTCTTCGCTATATACCGCTCAGCAATGCAACCTTCGGGACGAGTACGATTCTGAACATACCCCTTTAGCACTTTCATATATCTTTCAAACGGATACATCCATCTAAAATATACTGGCCCACACAGACGAACTTCTCTGACAAGATGTACTACTAGATGAACCATGATATCAAAGAATGAAGGGGGAAAGTACTTCTCAAGCAAACACAAAGTAACTACTACCTCTTCTTCCAACTTATCTAGCTTGGAAACATCAACAGTTTTGCACATATAGCATTGAAGAAGAAGCCAAACGAGTTATTGCATACCTTGCAGGCTTCTCCAAAACAGAACGAATTGCCACAGGGAGCAAATTGTTGCATTAAGGTATGACAATCATGTGATTTAAGGCCAAGAAGTCTTGAATCTTGTAAAGATACAAGATTTTTTATATTTGAAGAATAACCTTCAGGGACCTTCATACCATAGAAAGAATTGCAAACCTCTCTCTTCTCTGCTCTTGACAAATTCCAAGGCCCGGGAGGCAAACGAGTACGTCTTTCTCCATACTCGGGTTGCAAATCAGTTTTGACCCCCATGTTCAATAAATCTAATCGAGCAGCAATCCCATCTTTATTTTTTCCAGGGATCTCCAGCAATGTACCAATGATACTATCGCAAACATTCTTCTCAATGTGCATAACATCTGGACAGCCTCACAGGAAGGTATTTCCAATACTCGAGATCAAAGAATATTGATTTCTTCTTCCAACAAACTCTGTCACCATCTTCAACCATATGCAGCACTTCTTCTCCGGTTAATGGCTCAGGAGGCGTGCCATATTCAGGTTTCCCATTAAAAGCTGCACGTTGCCTCCTATATGGATGATTGATCGGTAACCATTTTCTATGCCCAATGTAACAAATTTTGTGGCCATTTTTCAACCTTGACTAGGTGTATCATCGCCGCATATTGGACAAGCTTTATATCCTTTAACAACACAACCAATAAGTTTCCATAGGCGGGGAAATCATTAATTGTCCACATTACTGCAGCTCTGAGTGTAAAAGTATTCTCCATTATGTGCATCATACACTCCTCCAATCCCCAATCCCCAAAAAAAAAAAAAAAAAAAAAAAAAAAAAAAAAAAAAAAAAAAAAAAAAAAAAAAAAAAAAAAAAAAAAAAAAAAAAAAAAAAAAAAAAAAAAAAAAAAAAAAAAAAAAAAAAAAAAAAAAAAAAAAAAAAAAAAAAAAAAAAAAAAAAAAAAAAAAAAAAAAAAAAAAAAAAAAAAAAAAAAAAAAAAAAAAAAAAAAAAAAAAAAAAAAAAAAAAAAAAAAAAAAAAAAAAAAAAAAAAAAAAAAAAAAAAAAAAAAAAAAAAAAAAAAAAAAAAAAAAAAAAAAAAAAAAAAAAAAAAAAAAAAAAAAAAAAAAAAAAAAAAAAAAAAAAAAAAAAAAAAAAAAAAAAAAAAAAAAAAAAAAAAAAAAAAAAAAAAAAAAAAAAACCCCTCAGGCAGTGAGTAGCTTTGATTGGAGGCAGAGCAGCCGAGCCAGCCGCGCCAGATTGTACTTGCGGCCCAGAACTCTGTAGGGCACAAACTTTATTTGTTTTATTTCCGTTGAACGTTGTTTCTAGTTGTAAACTGAATTTCCTTAGAATTGCTCTACTATCACCCCTGTTACGGTGGTGATGACAGCTGGAGGCCTATTTTGTAAACGTGTGCCTTTGTATTGTGCGTGCTGCCAGTTGGGAACTTTTACTGTGTTTTGACAGGTCAGAATTTTGGGAAAAGGCCGTTTTCAGGAGAGAAGAGACTCAGCCGAAATTTTGGTAGAAAAGTTTACAACCCTCTTTTCCCTTGTTTTCAGAGAAGAGGATGATGTTAGTAAGTGAGTCCGGCATCGGTTTTATGTCGAAAGAACCACAAGGTTCGTCACGAATTCTGAGGAATTCGGGGCGAGTCCTATCACAAGACTATCGGTATTAAAACACAATTATATAAAACAACTCGTTCGTGATGGAGTAATTAGTGTAACATATGTTAAATCAATAGAGAATTTGACGGATCCTTTTACGAAAGGACTCACATGTGAGATGGTTTATAAAACATCAAAAGGGATGGGACTGAGGTCTATGAAATAACAATCACCTCGATGGGAACAAGTCGAATAAGTGGTTATGTTGGATTGCGAAAAATGATAGAGTTCCATTCGTATGTGTTATATATTAATTCTAGCAAAAGAAGGACACATGTCTAATGGAGGTTCAGTTTGTACTCTTAATTTGTATGTAACATAATGCAGGAATGTAAAGACAATGACATCCTAGATAGACTTTGTTGATGCTCAAATTGGTTAGGCCAAGATTGAGTCCAACTTAGTGATGAGGTGTGATGGATGATGAATGAAGGTGAGGACCTTAAGCATGTGTGTAAAGACTTGGGCAAGCAATAAATGTAAAGAAGACAAGATATACGTGGTTCACCCTTAATGAATGGGTTACGTCCACGGAGAAGTATGTTTTCATTATAATAGTGTATGATTACATTTGTACATGGGGTTGGACCCGAATATAAAGATGACAAGTGAAATGCCCAGGCTAGGAATCTAGAAGAGAGTCCCCAGCCCTAGGGTCTAGCTCTGAGACCCGGATCCTCTTCTAAGTGGAGAAAGGAAGTCCCCTTTTCACATGGATACTATTCCCTATTTATAGGGAGGTGAAAGTGGGAGGTTTGTGTAGATTTCCGATGTGGGACTTTGCGTAAGTCGCTGTGGTGGTGACATGTGTCATGGTGTTGATGCTCTTGGTGCTGGGTATGCTCGGTTGATTATGGTGTAAACAGTAGTCCCCCAAGTTCGCAGTTAAGAAGTGACTTCTGGGTTGGGAACTTGTGAGTTTTTGTGTAATCGTGACTGAGCATTCCAGGTTCGATGGGAGCCATAGGGCATTCCCTAGTCCCCCAAGTTTGCAAGCTAGAAGTTGCGTCACCATTTAGAGTGTATAAGAAAAGCTGTGTTAGCCGTTAGTATTGTTGGTAGCTGGGTACCTGGGCATTTGGTGAGGAAGCCGGGTCTGGGCCGCAAGGGGCGGGGGCCTTGATGCTTCGGTGGCTTTGGGAAAAAGGGTTGGGCTTTTAGCACCTTTGGTATCCTTTAGTTTCAATGCTCCCTAAGCCATGCAAGCATGCAAAGTGTGGCCCCAACTTTTCTTTTTCTTCTTTTTTTATGGCCAGAATTGTAAGCCATGCATCCCCAAAAACTTTTATGCTCCTTGCCGTTCGGCAAGGAAGCTAGGCCTTTTTTTTTTTTTTTTTTTTGGTGTGCTAGGCCTTCGGTAGGTTCCAAAAGTTTGGGTGTGAGCTCATGAGGACCTCGGTCATGGGTTTTGGCTGAGCCATAGGTGGCTGGGGTTTTGTGTGCTTAGGGAGAAAATTTTCAAAAAGTAAAGAGCCGGGCTCTTTAAGTTTGTGCCTGGAGCTGGGACTTAGGAAATTATTTTTCAGTTATTGGAAAAGACCTGGGGTCAACAGGCTGAGCTTTTTGTGTAGGCACGGGAGCTGTGAGTATTGGCCAAGGATTTGAGGAGCTGGGCCATTTTGGAGCTGGACTAGTTTGAATTGTGGTGAGCCATGCAAGCCATGCAATTTTTTTTTTGGATGGCCATGTGGCATGGGCTTGGGGAAAATTTGTGAGCCTCTTAAATATAGTGGCTTGGGCTGACCAGTGTGCAAGGGCTGGGCCCTTATTTCTTTGGCATGGGGCTAGGCCCTTGAGTAAAAAGCTGTGCCTTGAGGAATAATGGGTTGGCTTTGGTAAGATGGCCAAATATGAATTGTCTGTGCAAGTTCTCCATGCTTCGGCAGGTGGTTAAAAAAGAAAAGAAAAAACCGAATAGGTCTTGGCCAAATATGAATTGGCAAAAGGTATTGTGAGTATCTCTCGAGGGATTTCGAAGCTGGGCCCCTCCAAGTGTCGGCAAGGCTTGGCTCAAGTTGCTAGGTTTAGATGAGGATTGGTTTTTTTTTTTTTTTTTTTTTTTTTTTTTTTTTTTTTTAACCTGCCTGAGTTCCACAGCTGGGCTTCGGCAGGTGTCCCATTCCCAGTTAGTTGCTAGGGTGTTTCGGATTGTGAGGGGTATATATCTCTCCTTATGAACCTTGCCGTTCGGCAAGCAATAGCTGAGACTTTTTTATTTCCTCTTTTTCTTTTCGGTAGCTGGAAGCTAAGGCCCTGGTTTGAAAATAGGAGCTGGGGCTGCGGCAACAGAGCCAAGTCCCCTATTTTTCACAGCTTCGATACTCTTGAGCTAGGCATTCTCATCAAGGTGACCGAGTCCCTTAGTTAAGGTGTCTGAGTACGAAACCTGTCGTTCGGAGAGGCTTCTACAGCTCTGCAGATTTAGCAAGAGTTTGGAGCTGGGCCTTCGAGAGGGCTGCGAGGAGGAAGAATTTTTAGGCGGCAGGTGTCGTTCGGCAAGAGACCCAACTTGGCTTGGGGCTTTTGTTTCTCCCGTCGGTGCATCACAAGTCCCTTCGTTTAGCAAGCTTGGCATTCCAGATTTGGTTCCGCAAGGGTGTTTGAAAAACACGGAGCCGGGGATGTTGGAGCTGGGAAGTCGATGACTTAGGTCCTTTGGTAGGTGGCTTGGAGCTGGGGTGTATAGTCCTTCGGTAGGTGGCTTGGAGCCGGGGATGCTTGAGTTGGGATCGTGGCTTCTGTGGGCTTTCTCAAATTCGCAGCAAGGGTGCCTAGAGTGAATTTGAATTTTTTGAGGTGCTGGGGTCTTCAATATCACCAAGGCAGGTGGCTGTGTTCTTGGTTATTTTCGTCAGAAAATCAAGAGTCTCAACGTTCACCAAGTTTTTGGAGCTTGGATTTGGAGCTGAGGCACTGGTGTTGTGGTTCCGTGGTTTTCGGCATTTGACAATGGTGATTGGTGACTTTGGCAGTATTTGTCATGCTTCTCAAATTGCTTTAATGGGCCTGCCCGTTTTTTTTTTTTTTTTTTTTTTTTTTTTTTTTTTTTACTTGCTGCCCACTTTGTCTTGAAGCCAGGAACTTGAGCTGGGGGCCAGAGCTAGGCATTCCGAATTGGGGATTTTGGTGAGCCTCCTATTTGTCTTGCGTTCGGCAAAGGCAGGTTGGAAATATTTGAGGCCTCCTTGTGAGTTGGTGAAGTGAGTTCGGAAGCGCTGGCGTGAGGTTACATGGGGTCTGGGCCATTGTGAAATTTCGTAGAGCTGGGCTCGGAAGGCTGGGTGCCTTGATCAGATTTTCATACTTGGACTTGTGTGGGTGCCCAATCAATTTGAAAGAAGGGGCAAGGTGGATTCGGCAAGGGAGCTAGCTAGGCACGAATGATTTTCTTTTGGAGTTTGGCTGTACTTGCGGTCAAGCAGTTGGGCTATTCGGTTTTGGTGTTGGACTGCCTGATTTGGCAACTTGGTGTGGGCCTTTGTGCCTTTCTTCAAGGGGCTGGGCCTTGGGTAATTTGTGCGCACAGGCTGCTGAGGATTCGGCGCAAATTGGAGTTGGGCTCGGGGCTTGAAGCTGGCCCGTGCCATTTTCAGTCCCCAATCTCTTTCATGAGTTGGCCATTCGTTGTGATCAGTTTGGGAAGCACTTTTGTGGGCCTGTGCAGCTGGTGCGAAACACTTGATCACGTGAAATTGGAGCTGGGCCATTTGAAATTTGGTGAAAATTTTCTGGAGAAGGTAGGGTATGGCTGCCATTCGGTGTCCTTGGGTGCGCCATTGAATGCCGTTGAATTTGAAGCTGCTTCCCATTGGGTGTTTTGATAGGTTTAGTGGCTAGGTGCCGTATGGCTTAGCCATCTAAATTGCTCCAGGCTTTCAGCTAGTTGTCATGTCGGCTTCTCATTAGATTGAAATGGTGGTTGGCCTCCTTAGCCCTGCAAAGTGATGCTGTCGGTGACTTGGAATATTTGGCACTTGCCAAATTGGAGCATCTTCAAAGTGGCCCGGACAGCCTTGATTCATATGCAATATTCATGAACCATGTTGTTGAATTGGATTGTGCAATGAATTACTTAAATATTACATGCTCGTATGCAGTATTTATATGTAAGAAGAGAAATCTTATCTGGAGTAATTTTTCCTTGGCCCTGCGCAAGCCATGCATGGTGATATCCTTGGTGCATTTGGGATATTGGCCACCTCTAAATTGAGACTCTTTCAATGTGACTGAAAGGTGGTTCCTTGGTTGAAATGATGGCTTGGAGCTGTGATTTTGTTGAGCCTCGTGCGCACGGGCTGGGCTTTTTCGTTTTGGTAGTGGTGAAGTTGCTGGGCCTTGGATGCCGAAAGCACAAGAATTGCATGTCGCAAGGAAATGGGCCTAGGCACGAGGGTGCCGAAGGCATAAGAATTGCATGTAGCAAAATGATGGGCCTAGGCACGAGGTGCTGAAGGCAACACAAAGCTTGCGTGTCGCAGAGCGATGTAGCTAGGCACGATGGTGCTGAAGGTGACACAAGGCTTGCGTGTCTCAAGGCAATATGGCTGGGCACGATGGTGCCGAGGGCAATATAAAGCTTGCGTGTCGCAGAGCGATGTGGCTAGGCACGGGGGGTGCCGAAGGCAACACAAAGCTTGCGTGTCGCAAGGCAATGTGGCTGAGCACGAAGGTGCCGAAGGTAACACAAAGCTTGCACGTCGTAGAGCGATGTGGCTAGGCATGATGGTGCCGAAGACGACACAAGATGTGGCTAGGCACGATGGTGCCGGAGGCGACACAAAGCTTGCGTGTCGCAAGGCAATGTGGTTAGGCATGATGGTGCCGAAGGTGACACAAGATGTGGCTAGGCACGGGTGGTGCCGAAGACAACACAAAGCTTGCGTATCGCAGAGCGATGTGGCTAGGCACGATGGTGCAGGAGGCGACACAAAGCTTGGGTGTCGCAAGGCAATGTGGCTAGGCACGATGGTGCCGAAGGCAACACAAAGCTTGCGTGTCGCAAGGTAATGTGGCTAGGCACAATGGTGCCTAAGGCGACACAAGATGTGGCCAGGCACGGGGGTGCCGAAGGCAACACAAAGCTCGCATGTTGCAAGGTATGTGGCTAGGCACAGAGGTGCCGAAGGCAACACAAAGCTTGCGTGTTGCAAGGCAATGTGGCTAGGCAATGGGTGCTGAAGGCATCTTTCATGCCGATTGATAGCTGGGTGCCCAAGGCATCGCTCAAGCTATATGATGAAGATTGTATGGGTGCCGAAGGCAATATAAAGCTTGCGTGTCGCAGAGCGATGTGGCTAGGCACGGGGGGTGCCGAAGGCAACACAAAGCTTGCGTGTCGCAAGGCAATGTGGCTGAGCACGAAGGTGCCGAAGGTAACACAAAGCTTGCACGTCGTAGAGCGATGTGGCTAGGCATGATGGTGCCGAAGACGACACAAGATGTGGCTAGGCACGATGGTGCCGGAGGCGACACAAAGCTTGCGTGTCGCAAGGCAATGTGGTTAGGCATGATGGTGCCGAAGGTGACACAAGATGTGGCTAGGCACGGGTGTGCCGAAGACAACACAAAGCTTGCGTATCGCAGAGCGATGTGGCTAGGCACGATGGTGCAGGAGGCGACACAAAGCTTGGGTGTCGCAAGGCAATGTGGCTAGGCACGATGGTGCCGAAGGCAACACAAAGCTTGCGTGTCGCAAGGTAATGTGGCTAGGCACAATGGTGCCTAAGGCGACACAAGATGTGGCCAGGCACGGGGGTGCCGAAGGCAACACAAAGCTCGCATGTTGCAAGGTATTGTGGCTAGGCACAGAGGTGCCGAAGGCAACACAAAGCTTGCGTGTTGCAAGGCAATGTGGCTAGGCAGATGGGTGCTGAAGGCATCTTTCATGCCGATTGATAGCTGGGTGCCCAAGGCATCGCTCAAGCTATATGATGAAGATTGTATGGGTGCCGAAGGGCACTGAGTAAGGAGAGAACGACATAAGCCTTTTGTATCGATTCCCACATACGGCGCCAAACTGTTGATGCTCAAATTGGTTAGGCCAAGATTGAGTCCAACTTAGTGATGAGGTGTGATGGATGATGAATGAAGGTGAGGACCTTAAGCATGTGTGTAAAGACTTGGGCAAGCAATAAATGTAAAGAAGACAAGATATACGTGGTTCACCCTTAATGAATGGGCTACGTCCACTGAGAAGTATGTTCTCATTATAATAGTGTATGATTACATTTGTACATGGGGTTGGACCCGAATATAAAGATGAGAAGTGAGATGCCCAGGCTAGGATCTAGAAGAGAGTCCCCAGCCCTAGGGTCTAGCTCTGAGACCCGGATCCTCTTCTAAGTGGAGAGAGGAAGTCCCCTTTTCACATGGATACTATTCCCTATTTATAGGGAGGTGAAAGTGGGAGGTTTGTGTAGATTTCCGATGTGGGACTTTGCGCAAGTCGCTGTGGTGGTGACATGTGTCATGGTGTTGATGCTCTTGGTGCTGGGTATGCTCGGTTGATTATGGTGTAAACAGACTTACCTATAAGTAAGGAGGTTTGGCCGTTTCCAAAAGACAATAAGACCTTTCTCTAGGATTCCTTATGAAACAGGATATGTGCATGGCCATAAAAGCGATGATTTAAGAATTATTAGAGAAATCCAAAATAAATATGTTCGGTGTATCCGGCTAGTCATACAAGGTACTTGGTTCAAAGTTGCAACCACAGTACGAAAAATCGATAATTTCGCCGATATTTCGGCGAAATTATCGTTTTTTTGGGGCAGCTATATTTTAGCACATTTCCAGCTATATATTGTCAATTTATCAATAATTTCCTTGATAATTTCGCCGATATTTCAGTTAAGATATTTTCATTCAATTGGCAGCTTTAAATGGTCAAAATATCACGATATTATCGATAATATCGCGATCTGAACTTTCAAAAATTAAAGAAAACTCACTTCACACATGCAGGGGTTCGAACCCCTTCCCCATTCTAAGGTCTACAGCCACTTAACCATGACACCAGTCATTAGTGCCCAACCCACAGAAATTGAGAAAGCTGTTACAGTTATCCTAATAGAAGCTTTTGAAGCTGCTACAACAAATGCCACTATAAGGCTAAAGTTTGCAAACCTGTCGAGGCTTCCATGGCTATTCAAGCCTTTGCAAGAACTCGAGTCATGATTGGCTAAATCCTAACGAACTTGGTTATTCCAACTTCAACACTAAGGGTTGCTAAGGCCTAAATGGATCAATCGCAATCAACTTGGTCATCACAAAACCTATGATGGTGATTTCTACCAAGGAACCCTCACTATACAAGGATCGTACCTAAGTTACTAAAGCATCAAGGTTGAACAAGTCCAACAAATTCATAAAGACAAATGGAGCAAGGCAAAGCTCTGCCAAACAAGGGACAACTTGATTAGCTTGTTTAATATTATATTTTGAACTATTTACACTAACACCATCTAAGGTTTTTAGGGGTTGTTTGGTACAGCGGACTGTCATGGACTGGATTAAATCCCAGAATTATCTTGAATTAGTTCGGATTGGACTAAGCTGGATTAAGTACTGACCTACGTTTGGTGCTATGTCGGACTAAGAAGCTGGATTGTAAAAATAATGAAGACCTATGTTTGGTGCTCTGTCGGACTAAAAAATAATTATTTAAATATTTAAATTTAATTAAGATTTTAACCTAAAATATAAACTAAAACAAATATACAAGCAAACTTGAAAGAAAAAAAAAAAAAAAAAAAAAAAAAAAAAAAAAAAAACCCTAAAAACAAATAAAGTATGATGTCGCCACCTCTCTCTCCATTTTAGGTTTCCGTATTTTTTTGTATTTTTTTCTAGTATTCTATTCTTATTTTCCTTCTTGGTCTCTTTTTATTCTTCTCTCTCGTTTTCTTCTTCTTCAACTAAGTTGCTAAAACATCACCAGCAAGAAGGAAGCTACCAAATAAAAATAGGAGCAGCATCATACGCGGACCCAAGTTTCTTCTTCTTTTCTTTTCTTCCTCCTTCTTTCTTTCTTTCTTCTCTGTGTTTTTGGTTCATTATTTTATGTTTTATTTTGGTAATGTTACGAATGGGGATGGAGAATGGAGAAGAGAGATGGTTCTGGGTTCTGCTAGTGGCTGGGATGGCGAAGAAAGATGTTCTACGAGTGGCCTGGGCTTCTTTGTGTTGGGTTTGTGCATGGCTGAGGGTGGTGGTCATGGGGAAGAAGAAATCCAGGAAGGGCATGGGTGCTAGGTTCTGCCTGTTCGAGGATCGGATTTGTGGTGGTGGGGTTTTGATTCAAGCCATAACGAAATCCAGCCGAACTCACCTGTTCAAAATAGCGACTGTGCTATATTGCAAACCCAATTTCGAGCTCGCTATATTAGACATGCAAATCCGGGCTTTTTTCAATTGTTGGACTATATAATCTCATTTAAGTTAATCCTCTTCATTGCCAAACATGGGTTTCAAGTCTTCTGTAATCCAATCCAATCCAGTGAGACATAGTGAGGCATACCAAACAACCCCTTAGTGTTTTCACAAAATCCTTGAAGTTTCATAAATACTCTAGCACCCCCTAGGGTTTCAAATTATTTAAAAACAAACCCATTCTGTTAATTTTCATCATAAAACTCCTCATACCATAAAATACAAAAATTTCGTCAAACAAAAAATTAACCTCAATTATTAGGGTTATTTTAGTTGCATGAATTATGGCATTTTTTTTTCTTTTCATTATGTTGCCTAAGGTGTTCGGTGTTTCGTGTAATTGTTGTTAAGCGTTTAAATGGTTTTTATATTTTTTTTTTTATCTATAAAAAGTATGATGATATTTAGTTAGTTTGTGGATTGATGGGGAATAAAACCTAGGACCTCTTGAACTACAAGCCCCTTGTCGTTTGATGGTTAGTTGATTAATTAATAAAATTTGAGAAATTTTTCTCTATTCTCGTATTTTCTAATATTTTAGATGCACTTATCCTTACATTCTCCACCTAAAAATCAACCATAATTATAAATAAAAAATTAAATAAAAAAGGATTTTTAATTGTAATAGTCTCTGAATTTAGACTCAATCTACATTTTGGTCCTCGAATTTGCAAAATAGTTTCTATAGTCCCTCAACTTCACTTTTGCTAGCAATGTTGGTTTTACCGTAGATTTTGTTAAATTTTCCTATTAAATTTAGGGGTTAATTGTAACTTGAAATCCAGTCCCATCACTCACACTGGCCACAATTCCCACCACTAACAAAGAACAAAATTCAATTGCCTTCTTTTAAGTTTTTTTTATTTAAACCCATCAAACATCCAAGGTCATTCGAGTTACACCATGAGATGTTCCCTACCTAGCCTCACAAGATATTTCCCCTACCAATTCCCCACCCAGGGTATTGCCCCCCCCCCCCCCCCCCCCAAAAAACCTAATCTCTTTAATCTTTACCAGATCAATTGAAAAGGCAAGAAAAAGAAAGAAAGATAAAAATAAAATACGGTTGTGCCGATTAGAAAGAACGTAAAAATAATACTTTTTTGCTACTTTGAAATCCCCGACCCCCCCCCCCCCCCCCCCCCCCCCCAAAAAAAACTAATCTCTTTAATCTTTACCAGATCAATTGAAAAGGCAAGAAAAAGAAAGAAGATAAAATAAAATACGGTTGTGCCGATTAGAAAGAACGTAAGAAATACTTTTTTGCTCCTAAATTTGACAGAAAAAGTAACGCAGTTTTGCTAAAGGAATTGGAATTTAAAGACTACAATAGCCATTTTACGAATTCAAGAATCAAAATAGAGTCTAAATTCATAGACTATGGCAACTAAAAAAACTTTAAGAACAATGTACACTTCACAAGCTCTTCTTCTTTTGTCTTTTTTTTTGTTTTTTTGGCTTGTTGCTCCATCACTCTCTATCTAAAAATCCCTAGCTAGAGCAATTAAGGACCCTAAGAAGGGAGCATGTGCACATAAAATGCAACAGACATGCTCATAATGGAAAGTCATAACCTCACTACCAAGTTCGTGGTAGTGCTGTCTTATCCAAATCACTGATCACATAATCAAACCAACAATTAATTATGTCTACAAATTTTAGGGTGGGAGGGTGGACAAGGATTTGACCGCAGCATCCCATTTTCTTTGCTTTAAGTTGTTGCCTCCCTCCTCTATATGTTCCCACCACTTCAAACTTTTTCCTGGTCTCTTGGCTTCTTGTCTGATTTTAGGTCATGGCTTATCGAGTAAGATTCCAAAGATTAGTTGTATCACAATAACAATGTTGGATTTTCCATCACCAACTAACCCCATTTCTCTTTTCACTATATAATATTTTATGGCTCAAACTTTTTTGTTGAGTCCAATCCTATTGATATATAGTGGCATAAGATTTTTCCAAGATTTGTCCGTACAAATAATGGTACGTACGTCATGGTTCACCGCCCCAATGTGGCTTTAACATAGCGTGCTTTGCCACAGCATTTGGCTGTGTTTGCATCATTTTAGCCATGAAATCAATGGTGGATGATGAGTTAATAAATACTTTTATTTTCTGGGTTTGTGAAATGACCTAATTCAAGAAGCATATGTGTGTGTATATATGATTGTCAACTCCGATCTCTTGGACCACAGGGGTTCAAGAGATTTGTGGTCACCCACCATTGAATGTTAATCTAACGGTTCAAAAAGGTTTCTTAAAATGAGTGCAAGAGTGAGTGAATCGTTGAATTTACATCCAAATGTGAGTGACCACAAATTTCTTGGACCCTTGTAGACCAAGAGATCGGGACTGATATATTTGTATGACATGTCTTAAAACTTTACAATGGTATCCATTCTTAATGTCGGGCGTCGTCCACCACTTGATTGCCATTCGTGCGTGTGATAGAAATATGTAAGCTGATCCACCAAGAATAATAAGTGAAAATATTCACATAATAAACCAGTTGTGATCGAATCCTACATCTACATGAATCATGATTGCGTTATTACTGTCTCATGTAATCGATTGGACATGTCCTGCATGTTAAACTTTTCCTTCAGATATATGTTTGCCTTATCTAAAATCTCAAGAATCATGCACAGTGCCTTACTAATGAGAATTTGGAGGTGCAAAATATATTATGCGAATGAACCGCCTAGAAGAAAGAAACTTATTTCATAGTAATCACTTGAAGATAATATTATCAATGGCTTCAATGCTATTCCTTAGTTGTAGGAATTATAAGAAATTATTTTTTCATTCTTAATTGATATTTTGATTAGGTAAAGCTTTTTGAATATATATATATATATATATATTTATGAATTTGCATTTGTATGTGGAGGTATAGTCAGGGGAAGAGTTAAGATTTTCATACTGGGCGTGCCAAATTTTGAAACTCAATTCTAATTAGTAAATTTCGTATCTACTTTTTCTTTTTTTAAATACACACACTATCAAAATATCATGGGGATTCGAACCTTTGACTACTGGTCTACAAGTTAAAGTCATTTTCCACTAGACTAGACCTCGTTGGCTAAGTAGCTTTCTCATCTTAAAAGAGAGGGAGGGAGGTACTAGCTTAATATTGTGAAATATTTTGGTTCTACATTATTATTTTTTTCTTCATAGGTACATGTTGGAGAAAGGGTGGGGTGGCCAAGGGCACTGCAGTCCCTAGGGTATAAATATACTATGTTTATGTTAAAAATAATAGGCCAAAAGTCACTTTTGGTCCTTGTAGTTTCAATTCCGTCAATTTTGCCATTGTAGTTTCGTATTTGTAGTAATTCAAGGACATGTTAGTATTCTTGTCAATTTATTTAACGATGCAAGGGGCAATTTCGTCAATTCAAAACCCTTGAGAATAAAAGCTCGTTAGAAACTCCCCTAATTTCATATTAGGGCTCGAAATTCAACCACTAATCCTAATTTTTGAAGAACCCTAAACCCAAATGACCAATTTCAAGCCCTAATACGAAATTAGGGGAGTTTCTAACGAGCTTTTATGCTTAAGGATTTTGGGTTGACGAAATTGCCCCTTGCATCGTCAAAGAAATTAACAGGAATACTAACTTGTCCTTAAATTGCTACAAATATGAAACTACATGATCAAAATTGACGGAATTGAAACTATAATGTCAAAAGTTGTTGAAGTGCCAAATTACAGGGACCAAAAATAACTTTTAGCCAAAATAATATATGTGTGCATAAACGATAAGAACTAACCACATCTTCTTTGTTGGATGTCATCCGTATGATATTTCTTGAATTTTTATCTCCTCTTTAAAAATTAAAGACATTGGGGAAAGAAAGATGAGGGAGAAAAAAACAACTGAGAAAGAGAATGGAAAAAACTTATAAGAAAAAAGCTAAAAATCATTTAAAACTTTTTTATTAGTTTTAGTTTTGCTATTAATTAAAGAGACGTTCTAAACATTGCATCAGCTGGAAAGAAAAAAAAACAAAAAACCTTCATCACATGACTTTATATTTAGCATTTAGCTTTTTTTTCGGTTCACGAGAGGAGATATCTGAACTTGAATTTTTTTTTCTTCAATTAAGTGTGGAAAGAAATATCACCAAATAAATTGTTTTCTAGTAAAGTGAGAAACGAAATATCATCAGACCAACAGAGGTGGTTGCAATGGTATTACTATTATTCGCATTTGCTTCATAATATCCTATAGCATAAAATTCCTCTATTGATATCTCTGTCCCTTTTTTTTAGTACAATAACATTTGAACCTTTTTAATTACGTGTATAAACTAGATATTTAACACTTCAAACCGAACTATAGCAAGAGATAATATTGTAGACTCACGACAAGAAAACGAAAGAGGGAGGTCAGTTTCTGGATTGCGAAATTCGAATTTGATACACCAACATTTTCTTGTAATGGGCAGACAGCTTTAGTTATACATATGATAGATGTAGAGAGCTTCAGTTAAGGGACATTTTTGTAGGGCTCATTATATTTCAATGATCCGAGCCGTCTAGTTTTTAGATATCCTCTCAAAAATTATTTTTGCAAAAAATCATTTGAATCCAAAACTACCATGTTCGTTTCACAACTTGACTCCTTAATAATTTTCGATTTGTTTAATTTTTTTGAAAGAATAATTTATGATTGAAGACTTGAATAATAAACGATTGGGATAGTTGAAAACAAATTTGTAATGAAGACCAAAGTCTATTTGTAAATGTATATTTTTTAATCCATAAAATATATAAATTACAGCCAAAAGAGAAAATTCGTATCGTGGCTTAAACGCACACTTGTAAACTAGCCAAACAAAGAAACAAGGCAGAATATACCAAGATTCTGCTAGGCTGGCCACCAATACCCTAGTGGTGTATTTGATGGCTCATTGTCATTCCCATGATTAAAAAGGCAACCCACGCCCACCGCTGGCCTCCCCATCATGCGCAGCTAAGAAGGGGCTTGGACC